GGGGAACAAACTCCAGGCCCAGGAGGATGCAGTGGTACTGAGGTTCTCAATTCTGTCCCCCTCACCTCCTCCCCCAAAGAACCTCCCAATATTTAATTTGTCAGGTTCTGCTACTCTTGAAATTATTTAAGCGTCCTGTGTATTTGGAGATAGAGGGGTTAATCCACCGAGTGGGGCTGATTCTGAAATAAACCCCAGTCTCCAAAAGAAGGCCACTTGCCTACTGAGAAAGGGGTCCTTCCGCTTTCAGGCGGCTCTACTGGACACTGTTAGGCGGAGAACTGTGCTTGGTCTTTTGGGGGGCCCTCTGTTTTTCTTTATGAAAATACTTCCTGGGGTAAAAAGACCATGCTTGGGGAAGAAGATCGGATTTTTTTTAATAGAATGGGCCCAGCTGGTGTTACCCAAGACTGGCGTGTTAGGCAAGAGAGCAGGAAGACCGGCCAAACTGGAGAAAATCGGAGCGAGGGTGGGGGGCTTGCACACGCTGCGCCCGCCCCGGGCCTCCTTACTTTCCCAGCCTGGCGGCACAGAAGGTCCCGCAGGAACCCCACGCAGGGTACAGAGCCAGAGCAAAGCAGGTCGAAAAGAAGTCACAGCCCACGAGGAGCCGCGGGCCAGCGCGCCACTGCGGAGAGCTGGAGAGCTGAGCGACGTGCGGCTCCTTCATTAGCTTCCCCTCCACGCGGCGCTGCACGCCTCCGAAAATAAGTTAGCAAACGGGGAGCCGTTTATCTCTTTTATCTTGGGGCCTGATCCAATTAAATAAGTGCACATTTACATTTGCATCCATCAGGCGGGAGCGCTGAGAGCCTGGGGTTTGCTCCGAGCAAATAAAAGCAGATTTCACTGGGAAAGTGACGTCTGGGCGCGCTGGGCTCGTTCGGGCGCAGGAAACGAGTGCTGCCCGGCAGGCGGTCGTGGGGCACCCAAGGCTGGGGACATTGGCCGACCGGATGCAGGAGCGGGCAGCGGACCCGGGGGGCCAGCCATTGCAGGGATTCCAGCTAGAGCTACAGCCCTGTCCCTGAGGCGCTATCTTGTTAGGCCAAAGTCTGAGCCGGCTTAGTGCTCGGGGCCCAAGCCGCATTTGTCGGAAAAACGAAAAGAAGGCCAGATCTGGCTTGGTCATAAAAAGAAACCCACAGGGTGGGTTTAGGGATTGTCCCCAAGTTTTGGGTAGTTTTGGGGAAGGACAGGCCATCAGGTGCCAGTGGAACAAGATTTGCCTCCTGTTTGGTGAAGGAGTGGAAGGGATGCGAAGAGCCGGGCCGAAGGCGCTCTGAGTTTCCCCTATCTCTGCACCGGCTGGATCGAGTTCGTGCGCCCGGTTAGCACATCAGGCGGGGTGGGCGGACTCCAGCGTTCCCCAGCCTCATTAAACGCGCTTTCGAAACAGGACTGAGTTCTAAGCAATGGGAGGGTAGTTTTGTTTTATTTGTTTTCCCTTTTTAAAGTCATGTCCACCCCCAAAGCCGAAAGCTATTAAGACCAAAACGGTCTCGGGGGTTCGGTGGCGTGGTGGCCCCCTCGGGACATAACAAACCGCAAATTAAACAGGCCGCGCGCCGCCCGGAACGAGACCTTGGCTGAGCCACCAGAGGCGGAAGTGCGCGCACCTGGGGCGGAGCGGGAGCCCCCCGCGCCGTCGGGGCTGTGCTCGGTTAAAGACCACTCCCGGGCTTCAGTCACCCACATATTTCTCAGTTGCCTGCTGCCTGTTTTTTAAAATAGTGCAGGAGCCGTGGCAGCAATCCACAGGGTTAAAGCTGTTTTAATCAAAGGCCGTGCTCCCCAAATCCTCAATGCTAACTGGGTCCCGGGTATCAGGCCCGAAGCGACTTGGGGTGGCGAAGCAGCTTAAGTTTAACCAGCTCAGAGTTAAGATCCCGCTGCTGTGGGTGGGAACCTGGCCTGGTTTTGCCTAACTCGCCCCTCCCGGCGAACACTGTGGCTCTGGGGGACCAGTAGGCGGCGCCTTTCCTAAACTGCATCCTCCTCTGGCTCCCTCTTGGGAACGCAGTCACTTTCCTTTCGCTTTGGGCGCAATGCAGTGCGAGCTGTTCTGTGCCTCCACCCGGGTTCGCAGGTACTTGTAGGGGACCCGCGGGTTGGTGGGCCAGTCTGGTGCCGAAACTGCACTCACGAATGTCTTTCCCCTCAACCTTCCAGGCCCCAAGAGCATTCATTCCTCCTAAGCAGCCCCGAGGAGTTTGCAAATCAGGAGGTCTCCCAGCAGGCTCCGCACTCGGAGTTGGGGAAAGACATTTTGGACCCCAGTACCCGAAGGTGAAGGACCCCCTTCCTCAGTCTCTCAACGCCGCAGTGTGCGCCCTCGGGAACTTCTTGAGCCATTCCCTCCTCACTCCCAAAACCCAGAAACTGATTTGGCCTGCACAGTCTAGCAAGGGGAGCTACAACCTGGAGAGACCCCATGGCAGTGACCTCACCACCCTTGATTGCAGAGGTTGACTGAGCTCCTCCAAGTCCCTAGGTGTCAAGCTAGGTGCCCCCGGGGTCCGGAACCAGCCTGGCCAAAGCAGGTGACCAACACCCACGCCACCCTAGCAAGGCGATGTCTTACGCTCTGCCTCTGGAAACCTCTGCTCCCCAGTCAAAGCCTTTAAACAAACTCTGACCCCAGGACACACAGGAAGTCCCCTCCACCTCCCGCCCAAGCCTCTAAGATCCATTGCCTCCTAGCCCTCCCTCGAGGCGACAAAACAGGGGTTCCTTTCGGGAGGGATGTGGGACTCTAGAGACACGCAAATACTGGTATTAAAAGCTGGACTCATGTCCTAAATTTCCGCGGACTAGATCTGCCCAGCAGGCCACCTCCAAACTGGAAAGTCGCTAGTTACCAGAAAAACCGCGGGCCACTCAAACCCAGCTCCGCAAAGAAGAAAATCCCACAATTAATTGGGGGCTTGTAGTCAATAAAGAAGCATGCAGCGAAAACCAGGGACCCTTGCAGCGGCCAGTCGCGGGCGAGATGCGAGGAGGGGACAGGGACTCGGGCACCAGCGGGCGAGCCCTGGGAGATCGCACAGTTCCTTCTTGGGGAAGAAGGGCTGAGCGCCTCAGGATGCGCAATCCGTTCCCAGGCAGCTCCGCGGGCATTCGGCTTGCAGCTCTGAGCTTCGGCAGTCGGACCTGGGAGGCCCAGCCGCGATATTTGCATATTGTCGGTAACACAGGGAGGCCTGTAATTTTCTTTTTAAAAATCGTTGGGCAGGGTTGAGGGCCAGTGCTTCCAAAACGTCGCCAAGTTGATGTCGTCTTTAAACTCTCTGCTAAGAAATGGGTACTGGCCTATTCCGACTTTTCAGAAGCGAAGATGATTCCTGGGGCCGCAGATTCAACAGTGGGGGGAAGAGCTGATTGTGAACCAGGTTGAGGGGGAGGGGGCTTGGAGGGAGTTCGGGAGCTGGGGTGCGGGGGCAGGGCAAGTCATCTCTGGAATTCAATTGTTTAAAAAATCATTTATAATTAAAGGGACAAAATAAAATACGATCGTCTCATGCATATTTAATCACTCACACTTCCAGCTTTAAAACCACTTTCCCTGTGTGAATTTTCTAACTTAAGCCCTGAAGTCGACCACTGTTTGCTAAAACATCTGCATAGTGCAGCTTTCAAACTTTAAAATCGAATAAGCTAAAGGAACCTCGTTGCAGGATTTGAAAAATAGCAGAAGCAACAACTCCACGAAACTTCGGGGTGTATTTAAAACGCATAGTGTTAAAGTAATCTTGAGAAGAAATGCAAATATATGCATTTTGATTTAGCCTAATTAAACCGGTGTTATGTGCAAGCACATTCTGTCTCTACATTCAGGATTGGGCTTCATAGGGCAAATTAATTCCCCTCGCTGGGGTATGTTTCTGCTGTAACGCACCCTACCCCGCCCCCGCCCGACCCCTGAAAATTTCCCACGAAGTAACACCGGAGGCGGCTCCATATCTCGGGCGCAAGATGGAGACGTGGGCACCGCCGCCAACTCCGAGCCAACAAGGGTGGCCGGCCTCGGTCTCAGGATGGTGTCTCTTCCTCTTTTAGGATTGAGACGCATCCCAAATTTGTACGTTAAGGGGAAACGTGCAGGATTAAGAGGAGAATATAAAACTTCAAAAATATTTTTGTAGCTATTTGGACTCTTGAACCTGAGAGCTCGGAAAAGTGTTAAAGCGACGACAAGCCTCATCGAGTTCACCGCGGCCTCCTTATCTAGGCAAATGGCCTCGAGCTTTTGAAGGCCACTTGTTCACAAAGAAGCCCGAGGGGGAGGGGTCTGAGGATCCGTTCGGGGGCTCCTCACGCTTCTCCGAGTCTCAGTGGTAGCTCCCTCCTCCCGCTGCCTCCCATTCTCCGGTCTCCGAGAAGTGCAGGCTCGAAATTCAGGACAAGTGTGACACCTACCTGTGAAAGGGGGGAACCGTCCCCTCGCTGGAGGCTGCGCGGGCATCTACAGGGCCGCCCGCCACCCGCGCCGTCTTGGATGGATCGTTCACTAATTTAATCAAATCCAAAGAAGAGATCAATGCCCAATTTTGAAGGGGTAGAGAAGACAGTGACTTGGGAAAGCCTTCCCCTTGGCGTCCGCTAACGCTCCCCGCCTGCATCAGCCAGCAGCACCTTTGAAATAGTAATAAGGGCTAAATCCGGCATAAAATCGAACTCATTAGCAAAGTTCACCAGCTGATTGCTTTGCATAAAACACGACACTGATTGGAAGTAATTAGGTTAAGCGATGGCGCTTGAGTAGTGCGTGTCTCTAGCTTGCTTTGCCATCTTTTCTCCCTTCTGGGTACACGCTAGGGTCTCCTCTTTTCTCCAGGGTCCAACGTCCCCCCAAGCAGCCCTCATCAGTGATCCAAATCCGCATTCCCGGGCAGGGCTGGGTTCCCCGGGGCTTCTAGCCTAATTAGGGCTTTCCCCTGGCACTTTCAGAGTCGGTGAAACCTTTCATTCCCCACCTCGAAAAAAGTTGCAGTTGCGTCTTTTGACCAAGGCAATGGACAGTTTATTGAAGGTTCTAAAAAGTAATGAGTGGCTCTGATTATGTTAAAATCTCTTTTAATTAAATATTTTGCATTTTACAAAGGCGGCTGCAGTTTCTTTTACTTTTTTAAATCTAAGAGTATAACCTGTTTCCTTTCTGCAATAATACTTTAGCTCATACCCAGAAAAAAAAATCAATAGGTGTAAAAAATTAAATTAAACTTGTATTTTTTAAACTATGAAACAGTTTTGAGGGAAACACAAATGTATATATTTATATTACAAAAAACATTAAATGCCTGTACAGGTGTCTTGATTTCATAATTTACTTCAAAGATATTGAATTATCAATTTAAATACAAAAATGCTACATTAAATATACAGAATAAGATTTAATACAAATCCTTTTCTTTGTTTTTTCTTTTCGGTTGGTTAAGACATTTTTGTGTGTGTGTGGAGACGTTTACATTTTTATGTCATCCATCTCCGTAAACTATAAACTTTTGAATAGGAAGGATAAGTTACTATTTTTCTCTCTGTCTCTCTCTTTCTCGATGATGGAAAAATAACTGCCAAGGCCATGTTTTTAATAAATTAGGAAAGTCCGGGACCGACGCAGCCCGCGTTAAATGTCGGACATACCTTTCTTCAATTCATAGGGAGAGTCTTTGCAGAGGTCTAGCTGAGACTGGCTCCGCAACATTTTCGGGTCTTTAGCCAAAGCGTCCGCTCGATTCAACACGGTTTGGTTTAATCCATTGAAATGAGAGCCCGGGCCGGTAGTGGGGCCTGGGCCAGGCCCCGGGTGGCCATGAAGGTGTCCGAAGGATCCATAGTTCGTGTAGCCGGGATAGAAGGGTGCAGTGTAGTACAGGGGCCGGGACAGCACCGTCCCGCCAGGGAAAGGACATTGCGCCGAGGGTGAGCGCGAAGGCGTCGGGGCTGGCGACGCGCGGCTCCCTCCCAGGGCTTGCCCCGCTACGGGGCCGGGGCACGGCGGGCACGGAGATCCCTCGCTCCCGCCGCCCCCGTCCTTGACTTTGTCCGAGGATGTGGCGATCTCGGCCAGAGACCACAGTTTGGGCTTGGCGAGCACCGCCGGCGGCGGCGGCGGCGGCGGTGGCGGCGAGTGGATGACCGAGGGCCCGCCGGGACCCGGGGGCAGCTCTCCCGCGG